ACATGCACACATGCACACACACACACACACACACGCGCACACACACACACACGCGCGCGCGCGCGCACACACACACACACACACACACACACACACACAGAGAGAGAGAACACACCCAGACCTCCAAACGAGTCTCCAAAGGGGCGATTCATTCCCATGTCACTTCTGCTGAAGTCTCTGTCCATTCCTGCCATTCCAGAGCGATACACATCTGTACACAAACACGAGCATTATCGTCTTCAGTAGAGCTGCTTTACAGCACAATCTGACGGTCTCATATCTGATTACATTTACATCATTGATTCTGTTATTTTCCTGCACTATAGAGTCATTCTGTCTCAACTCAACCAGAGCTACCTGGCTAAAAATGTTGGTTTAGCATTTGGTTTTAGACCATTGAAAATTTACCCATGAAGCTACACCGATGTCCTCATATCTCTGGAAATGAGCCATATCTGGCCTTAAAAATGAACATATCAAAAAAACTTTTGTTGACCACTAGAATCTACAATTACACTGAGATACCTTTAATACTTCTTGAATTATAGTTGCGCAAACTTTGGAAAAAGAGCAATTTTATCACTCAGACAGGTGTTTTATGCAATTGTTTTGATTATGCAATTGATAGAAGGAAATAAAATATATTTTTAGTTTCAGCACTGTTTGTTCTTCAAACATTTCTCTCTAAAAGAAAAAAAACATCCAGCTAAATGCAGTGACCGAACATTTGGTTTTTGACCACTGAAAATGTGAACAATTTATTCATTTACTCCTGGACTCACACCGAGATGCCAATATCTCTGGAAATGAGCCATATCTGGCCTTAAAAATGAAGAGAGCAGAAGAAAAGTTTGCTCATCAATCCCAGCAAGAGTTCGATACACTCAAGATTCAGTGATCTTACTGGTGATAAATGCACATGAGCAAACATCGTGAGCATCATGATTTTAACCTTTTTATTTAATCATCATTAAAAATCACTTTAATAATCACCACTTCTTAACTGCTACAGTCAGTTTGATTCACTTGAGTTGATGAATCATAAATAATGCTTTATTCATGCAAATTTTACACGGCATGCTTTATTTTTAAAGCATGCAGTGTAAAATTTGCATGAATAATTATGCAAACATGAACACACCTCCGGGTCCCATGGAGCCGACGGCCCCTCCACTGAGACGGTTGGCATTTATTGGCTGACCGCCGGGACCCAAACCCATCCCGATGCCTCCCAGACCTCCTGCAGCACACACCATAAACACACACTCACACAGAGAATTACACACATCTATATCAAAGCCCAAAACAAGCGCACAAGGCTCTTACTGGGTAACTGTGGCGCTTTCTCTGCAGGCCTGAAGTCATCTGGAGGGAGCGATTTATCATCCTACAGTAAACAGATGAACAGATGCATGAATCTGAGCTTCAGAAACACACACAAAGATGCACGAGAACGAACGCGGCTCACCATTTTCACGTGCATCTGTCTGTCAAACAGCATCTGACCGTTGAACATGGCTGTGAGCGTGAGTGAAGGAAGACATAAAGCACCCTAACTGCAGTACACACTAACAAGTGACCCATTTACAACCACAAACTCACAACTAGTCTATACTGCAAATCCACAGCACACAAATTGGATAAAATCGTTCTTTTTTAAGGTGAGGCACTTGCTGCTTTGTGCTATTTTGCTTCCATAACGCAGCCGCTTTCAGACTAGTGGAAAGAAAACATCTAAAATACACATTTAAGTGTTTGTTTTATTGCACTTTATAAAACAGAGCGTTCCGGTGCTTGACTCTGATTGGCTGAGCCGTGTTCGAAGCTGTTGTAAATGACTCTACAAAGTAACACACACCTTTGTTTAGGTTTGTGTGTTGCACGGCAATTTGTAGCAACCACAACTGTTTCTGAGGAGCTACATTGTTTGGTGGAAGAATACTGTTAGATTAATATCATTACACTTTATTTGCTCTGTTTTATTTTGTGAAAGCTTACTACGTATATGCAATAACCGTTTTATAAAAGCAGTAATTAATGTTCTGGAAATGAGTGCACAGTTAATTAAATAATGCCTCATTTGCATTCTCACATTTACACTTAACATTTCAGAAAACTTTAGTCTCAAAAACAACTGTAAATAATTTAATGCATTCATTAAAACTCTTTAGATCAGATAACCTTCCTCATGCACTGGTTTCAGAGCGCAGAGGATACAGATGGCTTGTACGGCCTCCAGCGGCTGCTCGAAGGTGACGGTCCCCATGCCTCGGCTCTTCCCGTCTTGGTCTTCTTTAACGTCGGCCCTCCTCGCCGTCCCCGCCATACTGAACACCTCCTTCAGCTTCTTCCAGCCCACCTTAAAGTCCAGCTGCAGCCAACAGAGACCAAAACAACATATGTGACCCTGGAGCACAAAACCAGTCATAAGGGTCAATTTTGTGAAATTGAGAAGTATGCATCAGCTGAAAGCTGAATAAATGAGCTCTCCATTGATGTATGGTTTGTTAGGATCGGACAATATTTGAAAATCTGGAATCTGAGGGTGCAAAAAAATCTAAATATTGAGAAAATCATCTTTAAAGTTGTTCAAATGATGTCCAAATATCAGTCGCGCTGTCAAAATAAAAGTCCCACCTCGAACGCATCAGCCAAACAGGAAAACTTAACGGCCGATGCATGGCAGATATCGGCCGATATATCGGTCGACCACTACTCACGTTGGCGACGAACACGGTGGTGCCGAGCCGCCCGGCCTGCAGCGCGCTGAGGATCTCCGGAGGGATGTTTGGGTTGTTGGCGATGGAGGGAGGGATGTCTTGCCCTCGGCCCGCTCCGTACATCCGGCCCGATCTCTGCAGGACGCGCCGCGCATGCTCACCGTCCGGATCCTGAAACACACACGCGTCAGGAACCGTCTGCACAAACACACGCCCGACAGAATGACGCACTTACCTCCTTAATGTTCAGCGGCCGTCCGTTCAGATCATGTTTGCTCATGACCTCGATGGCTTTCTTCACAAACTCTTCATCTTTGAACTCAACCACGCTGAAAGAGAAGAGCCGCAGTTATATCAATTAAATCTGTACTGCTTCTAATAGAAAACTATTCAAGCGGCTTTAATTTAGTTGATTACTTGTTTAACGCTTGGAAAAATATAAACAATATTAATAATAATCACTTGATGCTGCTGTCAGATACCCAAAGAAAAACATTTCATTGTTTTAATTAATTTATATTTACTTAGGGTTTAAAATATTACTTTATTTAAATTTAATTAAGCCGATTACTTTTTTAATTCTTGAAAAATCTGAATAATTTCCTACTGCTTATAAAACAATTCCACTACCTTTATTTCACAGATAATTACTTTTTAAATGTTTGGAAAAATAGAAATAACAATACCCATTACTTGCAGCAACATTTATTCATATTTATTTTAAATAAAATATATTTAATATAAATAAATATTTAAAATTGCTAATTGCTTTTTTTCAATGCTTGGAAAAATATCAATATACTTGAAGAAATACTTGCGGGCAACGTTGCATTGTTTTAACTTATTCATATTTATTTAAATAAACATTTAAAATAGCTGCTTACGTTTTTAAATGCTCTGAAAAAAATTATAATAATTATTATATTTATATTAAATTATTTCTTGCTAGTAATAAAACAATGTACATTTATTTCACATTTGATTACCTTTTTAAATGTTTGGGAAAATATAAATAACACAAATTTCTACTTGAATACATTTGTGACAATCAACAATCCAATGCATTAAATTATTCATATTTACTTTATTTAAATATAATTTTATGACCATCATATGTTTTCCCAAGCACTGAAAGAGCACTAAATGAATAATACTTTTAAGTTGAATGCTTGAAAAAAAATTTTTATAATAATAATTAATAAGACTGCTTATAAAGCAATTAAGCCCCTTTATTTTGCAGCCGATTGCTTTTTTAAATGTTTGGGAAAACAAATAATTTCGACTTGAATCGTCGATGCAAGTGTCTGGCAAATGAATGCATTAATTCAAACGTGCTTTTTTCTATATAAACGTTTCTTACCCGCAGCCCTTCAGAAGCGAGTCCACGAAGAACGAGGAGGAGGAGGAGAGAGAGAGAACGACAAGAGAGAACATCATCAGCAACACATCAGCTCAAAGAGAAACAGCTGACTGATTGATCATTAGTGCCTCAGAGAGATCAATTACAGCACATGCTCACGACTCTACTTTAACGAGCTGTTTGGAGCATTTCAGTGATGAGAGCAAATGAACTCGGGGGCAAATGAAACTGGAACATGTTGTTACGGGACAGAGAGAGAGAGAGAGCGAGAGAGAGAGAGAGAGAAGGGAACAGATGAAGGGGTTTAAGGAAAGACACCTGACAGAGATATGACACTCGTAGGTCTGTCATCATCAGCAACACATCAGCTCAAAGAGAAACAGCTGACTGATTGATCATTAGTGCCTCAGAGAGATCAATTACAGCACATGCTCACGACTCTACTTTAACGAGCTGTTTGGAGCATTTCAGTGATGAGAGCAAATGAACTCGGGGGCAAATGAAACTGGAACATGTTGTTACGGGACAGAGAGAGAGAGAGAGAAGGGAACAGATGAAGGGGTTTAAGGAAAGACACCTGACAGAGATATGACTCTCGTAGGTCTGTTAAATCCAAATCAAAAACACCTAAGCAATCATCAGATGTGAGAGAGACAGATGGACCCCAGCCAAACGGGTCACCACCGATTTAAAAGACATCCGAATAATCGTCTTAATAGGCTTTTTCTGTAGCGCTCCACATCAACACACCGTCCCGAGGTCAAAGCTACGACAGTATATCAGCTCTACCGGCCCTGAGCGCATGAGAGAGATGCTGCGGAGGCCTTGCAAACCTCACAGAGTCACCAACACTTACCCTTGACTTTCCTTCTCCATCCTTAAAGAGTTCCACGTATGTAACCTCACCAACTACATGAGACATACAAAGGGAAAATACCACAGAGAACAAGGCATTTAAATCACTAGTGGTCTGTCTCCTTGGGTGCAACGCTAGAAAAGCCCAGTGAAACACACACACACACACACACACACCTGAGACCCGCTCCTCGAAAAGCACCTCGACTGACACCTAGCACTACATTCATTCCTCTATGCTACAGATACTGTACACACACAGGTAGAAAAATCACTAGGCCACCCACCTGTACAATCCTTCAACACTACAGTGAATCATGATGACTACAGCTTATACCACCATATATATATATATATATACACACAGTATAGATTCACACCAGAACAGATTCAACTCCCCTGTCTGACATTCATGCTGCACGCTCGTCTAGATCGAGATGGATACGAGATAAAGCTGAGAGAGGGACGGGACGCAGCGTGGGTTACCTTTCTCACGCATTAGATCTTTAATGGCCTGCCACTTCATATCATAAGGGATATTGCTAATGAAAACGCGGTTCCTGTGGGAGGCCTTCTTGTCCGCCGAGCTGCTGCGGCGCTCTTTGTAGGGATGGTAGCGGTGCGACTTTCGGCTCTTCTCTTTGGGCTCTTTGTCCTCGGCGTCGCTGCAAACACACACACACACACACACACACGCACACACACACGCACACGCAGACACACGCACACACACACAGACACACACAGACACACACACACACACGCACACACACACGCACACGCAGACACACGCACACACACACAGACACACACAGACACACACACACACACGCACACACACACGCACACGCAGACACACGCACACACACACAGACACACACAGACACACACACACACACGCACACACACACGCACACGCAGACACACGCACACACACACAGACACACACAGACACGCACACACACACGCACACAGACACACACACACGCACAGACAGACACACACACAGACAGACAGACACACACACAGACACACACACAGACACAGACAGACAGACACACACACAGACACACACACAGACACAGACAGACAGACACACACACAGACACACACACAGACACAGACAGACAGACACACACACAGACACACACACAGACACAGACAGACAGACACACACACAGACACACACACAGACACAGACAGACAGACACACACACAGACACACACACAGACACAGACAGACAGACACACACACAGACACACACACAGACACAGACAGACAGACACACACACAGACACACACACAGACACAGACAGACAGACACACACACAGACACACACACAGACACAGACAGACAGACACACACACAGACACACACACAGACACAGACAGACAGACACACACACAGACACACACACAGACACAGACAGACAGACACACACACAGACACACACACAGACACAGACAGACAGACACACACACAGACACACACACAGACACAGACAGACAGACACACACACAGACACACACACAGACACAGACAGACAGACACACACACAGACACACACACAGACACAGACAGACAGACACACACACAGACACACACACAGACACAGACAGACAGACACACACACAGACACACACACAGACACAGACAGACAGACACACACACAGACACACACACAGACACAGACAGACAGACACACACACAGACACACACACAGACACAGACAGACAGACACACACACAGACACACACACAGACACAGACAGACAGACACACACACAGACACACACACAGACACAGACAGACAGACACACACACAGACACACACACAGACACAGACAGACAGACACACACACAGACACACACACAGACACAGACACAGACACACACACACACTCAGACAGACACACACACACACACACACAGACAGACACACACACACAAGAGAGAGAACACTGTGAGAAAAACACATAGAATCCATACAAACAGTACAATTCAACTATATACATCCTTCTTCCTAAAAATAAGTGTCGTGATGATAATAACACTCGAAAATTTATCAAAACATCAAATTTAGAGAAACTTTTTTTCAAGAAATTTGTTCTCTAATTCTAAACAATATATAATATTATACAATTAATTTATATATATATATATATAAAATAATATATTATAAAATGAATTTATATATATATGAATTTCAACAGTCAGGTTCCGGCAATAATAATGAAAACCCATTAATTTTCTTCATGGGATTTTTTTAAAATAATAATAATAATAATAACCGTTAAAAACAGACCTACTGTGAGCTTCGAGATGATTAATCGATAGTTGTTGAACCTGTTATTTCAACTCATTTTTAAATAATCATGCTTAAGAACAGAATTGCAGTTGAGAAACTACATTACCCATGATTCAGCAGAGACCTCTCCACCAATCAAAACCTCAAACCGAGCTCTAGCTCCGCCCACTCATATGAAGCACTGCGAATGTGTCTTTGTCCCATTTTTAAATACTTTTTTTTTTTGCTTCGAAGCAAAGTCAGTAAAGCTGTGATTCGTCTGGATGGTTTTGTTCATGGTTTATCGATCTTTAACGAAAACTAAATAATACTTCCGGCCGCTGCTAAAGTGGGCGGGCTCTGTTGATCAATGGCGGTTGCTACGGGTTACCGCTCTGATTGGAGCGCAGCGCCACAAAACAAACAAACAAATAAACGACAGGAAAATACGCGCTAACTAACGTTAGAGGAAATGTCTTCAGACACCTGCATCATGAACACAAACTGATATGAGGAAAAATAACCGCGTTTCTTTTGCTCTGTGAAAGCGCTGCGCTCGCGCACAGGCCTCGCTAGCAACACGTGCGAGATTTGAGTTTTAAAGAGCGCTCAGTTACGTTTTAACGCCGTTGGTGTCCTCCTGCGTCTGCTGGGGCTCCGCTTCTGCTTCGTCAGCGGCAGAATCGCCTGATTCTTCGTGTTTGGTGTCAGTCAGGTCCAGCGTCGGCTCCGCGTCCGCCATCACTGCGTCTCCTCTCACGCAGCTATCGCGAGATCACGCGAGACTTCAGTGGCGTGATTGATTTCATAACGAGCGAGGTTTCGCTGAAATATGATTATACTTATCTGGACAATATTCGGCTATAGAAATGTAATGAAGGAAGTTTTTTGCATTATGGTAATGATGAATAGGAATATTGACACAGAAACATATTATTTTAAAAGTCGGTGGGTAATTATGATAACACTGTGCAATAAACTACAAATTTAGATTAAAATTATGATGTCAATAAAGTGTACCATATATAAAAAAAATAATACAGATGTATAAAAGCAGTAGCATTTTAGAAACATTTAAGAGACAGACAGAGAATTAGGCCAAAACAAATTGTACTGCCATTATGTAAATATTATGTAGTGTATAAAAACGTAACTGTAATCTGATTATTAGCTTAATATGCTTAATTGCAATCCAGATGACATGTTACACAGTAACTACCCACTGCACACCACCCTAGCAACCACCTAGCGTTGCCCTGGTAACCACTCTCGCGCTGCACTCGCGTGCTCATCTTGTTTTGTGATGCTGAATTGGCGGCATGTTGGGTTTAAAGTGCTGCTGTGCCTTTAAAGCACGCTGAGCCGCAGTCAAAGCAATGATGCTTTAATACAAGCACAAGGTCTGATTGAGTTACATGCACCAGCCCAGCTAAAATAACACTAAATCTGCATTTTAGAGTCAAACCAGCTGAGATGAACAAGTGGCGAGAGAGAGAGAGAGAGAGAGAGCATGCAGGAGGGATGCAAGAGTATTCCAGTCGCAGCTTTCTGACTCTTTTTTTCAGCAGCAGTCAAGCCGAGCCTGTGGAGCCCCTGCTGCTGTGTGCAGGGCTCGACCCGCTCTTCTGCAGCAGCCGCCGCCTACAACAGCTCTGACAGAATGAAGGTGAGATGCATGTCGCTGCTCATCCAGCTCTCCCTGGCTCTCTCAGACACTCTCCTGCTGCATGCGAATAGCACGCGACTGTGAGCATCCCCCGCTCGAGTCGCAGCTGGAACGCAACAGGTCCTGGTGTCGTCTGCTGCACGCGCTGACTCAAGCGCACGCTCCGATTAAAGGTGTCGCCTATGTGCTGTGATCTCTGACTCTCGAGTACACATGTTTGCTGCACTGCGTTCTGAGGGACTTGTTTTCCTTGCTTTATCGTTCTACTGCTGAGAAATCTTACCACCTGCGATGCTGTTGGTTTGTAATAGAGCACGAGAGAGTCGAGGGCTGCATGCACAGGCAAGGCTTCATGCCTTTCATCCCATCTGTTTGCTTAAGTGCTTTTGCATTAATGACTAAGCTGTCTATTAGAACTTTTCAGTAATAGTCATCATTATGTTACCCTTAGAAATGCAAACAAAACATCAGAAGAGTCCCTCTGTGATTCACATGCATTCATTCGCCTGGAAGCCTGCTTTGGCACTTATCCTGTGTGTTGCATAACACTGGCCATATTTTCATGCACATCACTGATTAAAGGCAAGTTTGCATGCTCCACAGAGTGTACATGCCTGTCCCAATATTCTCTTGTGCATGCTAATCATTTAATGAAGCGCTTGTTGTCTGATTTATTCTGTAAATTAATTCTGAGCATCTCCTACCTTCACAGGCGTCCATCTCGATCCGTGCTGATCGCCAACCTACCGACGCATGCAGGATGACGGGGCTCGCCTGGGAACATGTGTAGCGTTCACTATAACCACAGCCTGACAGCCATGAGCGGGAGTGACTTCATGGCCTATTCTCTGAGTCTGGAGCAGAAGACGGCGTTTGCGTTCGTGGGGATGTTGCTGGTGTTTCTCGGGCTGTTGATCGTCAGGTGTTTCCGGATCCTGCTGGACCCCTACAGTAGCATGCCATCCTCCAGCTGGGGCGACGGACTGGAGGGCCTGGAAAAAGGGACGTTTGAAAACGCTCTTACCTGAGACCACGTTCCCAAAGACGCCAGACCCCCAGTCCATGGCTTCATTCTAGAGCCCCATGAATCATATAAAGCCTTTGCACCATATGGGGGCATGCACACAGGATGCAAAATGTTTTGACTTGACACCTTCCTATAAATATACAATGTTTGGTGATGCAACAGCCAAAGATGCATGCTTGATGCATGCAAAGGGTTGGAAAATTTCAGAAACTTTCCAGAAATATTGGAAACTTTCAGGGATTTTTCGGAAACTTGGAAAGTTTCCAGAAATTGTCCGCCCCTTTTGCAACCACACACAAAATAGCAGCGATGGATCACAAGAACGTGTCCCCGGAGGATGTGAGAATTCATTAAAATGACACACCGAGACGCATGGCCTGCTGTTACGACATCATACTCGGACAGAGTCGATTTTTGGAATGCAACGTCACACCATTTAGCCACTGGGCATCTCAGGGAAGAGTAGAGAAAGACTTGAATTAAAAGAACCAAGATGGCACACGTGCAAGACAACGCTAGGATGTAAACAGGGCAATCTGCCCCTTTCATTCATGCTGTCCGTCTAGCTTCCACCCCGTTTAGTAATGAAGTACATATGCATTCGCCAAGCATTCGCACACTTGCATAGAGTACGTTTCTCTCCTGTTTACCGTCATCTGGGTCTCCGAGGCCAATCGCACTAAAATAACCTGCTGTTTCTGAGAACTATGAAGCTGTGAAGTCTTACAGCAGTGCAAACGTCTCTGTAGACCCGTCTGTTTTTCTAGCAAATCGTTTCTCTTCACTTACTGCCTATGAAAACATCTGCACACAGAGACTCTGCAGGACATGTCTGAAATTGTGACACATCCTGCCACCTCCGTGTTTGTTTGAGTGACAGGGGAAAGGTGTGTCACCATGACAACAGCGGAAAGATGCGAGCTGGATGCAGTGATGCACCAATGAAAGCGTAGCTCATCTCCAGTGTTCTAGTGCTGTGAATCTGCCTTACTGGATTTCCGTGCCTTCGTTTAGCGACGGTAGCGTATCTCTCACAGGACGATCTGTGTTTGTGTGCATCCGTGTGTGTGGGTGTGTGTGTGGTGGGTTCATGTGATGATGAAGATGATGAAGACCACTGTGACCACTTTGTGTTTCTCTCATGCTGAGGAGGGGATGTCCCTCGCTGCAATGGTCTGTGTTCATCTGCAGGAATAAAACAGTTCTGGACCTCTTCCTTGTGCTGCCGTTTCTTTCCTAAAACATCAAAATTAATTCTATTTACTTTCTACATTCATGTTGCACGTCTTACTGTAAATGATTAATCAGTGCACATTATGAATGCATTCAGTGTTGTGCAGTGATGCATTACTGTGTAGCTCACACACAGTCATTTTAAGCTGATTAGCATTTAAAATCAAGGTTACAGCAGTATTATCAGCTGAAAAATAGATGAACAATGCATTACCTCTGGGATATGTGGAGATACTCCTCAAAAGTGTTTCAGAAGGGCTGTAAACCCCCTAAAATCCACTTTTGCAAACACTGCAAAATCCACTGCAATCTGGCATTCAATGTGTGTGGTGGGTTCATGTGATGATGAAGATGATGAAGACCACTGTGACCACTTTGTGTTTCTCTCATGCTGAGGAGGGGATGTCCCTCGCCGCGATGGTCTGTGTTCATCTGCAGGAATAAAACAGTTCTGGACCTCTTCCTTATGCTGCCGTTTCTTTCCTAAAACATCAAAATTAATTCTATTTACTTTCTACATTCATGTTGCACGTCTTACTGTAAATGATTAATCAGTGCACATTATGAATGCATTCAGTGTTGTGCAGTGATGCATTACTGTGTAGCTCACACACAGTCATTTTAAGCTGATTAGCATTTAAAATCAAGGTTACAGCAGTATTATCAGCTGAAAAATAGATGAACAATGCATTACCTCTGGGATATGTGGAGATACTCCTCAAAAGTGTTTCAGAAGGGCTGTAAACCCCCTAAAATCCACTTTTGCAAACACTGCAATCTGGCATTCAGATATGCATTCACACCCTCACCATTGTTTCCTACTGCACTCAGAAATGCATTTTAATATGCAAGTAAAATGGTTGTAAATGCTCTTTTATATAGTCTGTAAAGCAAACGTCAATCAGTATTTTGTGGCTCTTTCTCAGAAAGCAAACGGCACATCTCAGAAAACAGCAGCGCTGACGTCATCAGGGTAAACCGGACTACACATGCTGCTGGATTTAGTCAAAATCAGTGCGAGACGCATCCGCATCACTACTCTCAGCCTGAATGAAATGGTCTGACCGCTTTACGCTGGTGTCTGTGTCCATAGTAACTGACCGCTGGTTGTGTCTGTAACCATAGCAATGGCTGTTTATAATCATATTGATGGGTGACTGCTTCCAGAAAGTTGTCACATACACACACACACACACACACACTCCCACTCCCACACACACTCACTCCCACACACACACACACTCCCACACACTCACACACACACACACGGAGCGCTGCGCCTCAGCATGATCCTTTAGGGTTTAGGGATAACATTGTGTCTTTTTACCGGATGCGCGCTGGGGGATTCGTGAAGGGCAGAAAAGCAAAACACTCGATTGATGTCGACTGTGAGGGAGTCAACCCTGATTTAGATCACATAATCGGTCTGAAATCACATCCAGTGTCTCTAAAATGCAGCTCGGCTCAAGGTCAAGAGGTCACACGGCCACGCCCTCCAGCCAACCAGAGGAGAGCAGTGTTGCCAATTTAGCTACTTTGTAGCTAGATTTAGTGACTTCCCTGCCCCTTTTGAGACTTTTTTCAAAACTTTAGGGACAAATATAGCAACTTCTTGGACAACCCGTATCTAAGTTCTCATCTTGCGCACTAATCAGCATTCATCTTTATACAGATCAATGAATTTGCCATTATGATGTCATCTAGTGACATTTAGCTACCAGTTTTAGTTATACTTTCAATTGAAAGCAGTTGGAGGAGAGACAGAGAACAACATCACCTAACGCTCATTTCGGTGACCTTTCCTATTAATCGCACTGGAGCAAAACCCTTCCAAGGTCGGCCGGACGGCTGCGGTTTTCACCGGTGTGTGAAAACATTATACAACTTAAGAGCAATAAGGAAGTATTTTAGTAATGTGTCAGAAGCGCCCAGAGCAAGTTCCCATTATTGCTGGCTTTACATTAACCCCATCAACAGAGAAACACTTCACATGACCAGGCATCACACCTCATACACCTCTGCGTCATAAAGAGCAAGCGATGAAATCTTTACAAGAATCTTGTTATGTTTCATGTTAATTTGATGTTATAAAAGGACTTTGGACTTGCTTGGTTTGTGGATTCCCTGTCGATCACACACCCAAATACTATACAAATGACGGGGCTCTGTTTGTATGATCTGCTGTTATAATAAATTGAAATCTCCTCCATCTGAACACTCACTCTTTAGATACTGCAAGTTACAATTAAACACAAGCATTGACAAACAATCACAACTCATAAAACCAGGCAAAACTCAAAGCATCTCCAGTATCCATAACCTCTCAGGGTCTTTATGCTGTTAATTTTTAAGCACTTCATTGGCGGCACCTTTGATGGAGCGAGAACATATTTACCCCCATCAGGACCAATGAGCTTCCACCTGTTCAACGGCTATATAAAGTGACACATAAACACATCAGCTAAACACAAGTGGTCTGATTCTCAAGCATCTGAGACCCAAAGAAAGAGACCTGGTCTGGAAGCTCAGAAGAGCTCAATCTATTGTACTCTTTGACTCAGTTCACTCCCAAACCCACTGAAGCCTTCTGATGGAGAACCCCGGGTTCGAGAGATCTAAAGACGACCCTCCACAGTACGAGGAGACGTCTTTCTGCGGAAACGGGTTCACTAACGGGGAACGGCGAGGCGTGCGGGCGTCTGTGGTCAGTGCTTTTGGGCACAACACCCTGGACCGGGTGCCAAACGTTGACTTTTATCGTAATGCGGCGAGCATCAGCGGACACAGAGCCGTCAGACCTTCCCTACAGGAGCTGCACGAAGTTTTCCAGAAGGTGAGTCACACCTGAAAAGAACAATAATCAAGAAAGCAAAAGCCTCACTGATGATCCGTTCTTCCCATGCACCACAACATACCTCATATTTTAATAACACAAATCAAACACACGATTCATGACTCAGTGTTTAGACCACAGGCAGTCTGTTGAGCTAATTTTAGGTTAATTGCAGAAGTGGGTGTCGTAATGGTGACCCGACGCAGACAAAGATCAATGAGAAAGCCTGAGAGAGAAGCATGAGTAACGAGCTTCTGCGGCTAATGCATTGATCCGCTGGCCTTAAACAGGGTAGTTAATGCAAACAAGGGCTGAAAAGTTTGCGCTGATTCAGAAAGCACGCATGCACACAGTCCTTTTCAACATTTGTTCAAGAAAGTAATGAGCCAAGTCACTCTTTAGATGATCTTCTCTGAGCATCCAAGTCTTTTGAGTCACAGAACTCATTCTGAACTACAGAAATAGTATGCATTTATGCATATGAGATCATTAATAAATGTCACATCTGGGTAGTTGCCGCGTAACCCGTCCACTGACTTTTTAGCAACATCAAAATGTACATATTTGCATAAGAGAAAATGTATATTTTAACCACCATTTTTTGTTTTTCACTATTTTAATCACCTTTTTAAATGGTGAGCAATAAATTCATAAAAGTACAAACCTTACATGTTTGGGAAATATTGACATGCAGGGGAAATATTTATAATATTGTTATTTATATATATAAATTATATATATTCACTATTTACTAATTAATTTCCTGATTTTATTTCATTCGTGGCCATGATTTACTCATTTGTTCCCTCACAGTAAATTGAGTTAGTACAACGTGGTCATGACTTATTAAAAAGACGGAACAAATTAGTAAATTGTGGCCATGATTAAATAAAATGAGGGAATGTATTAGTCGAGTATAAGTTCTTAATTTGTGGCCACAATATATAATTTAGTTTTCCACCGCATGTCATACGCAGGAATGCAGACATAAAAGCTGCATCTATAATTTTGAAAGACTGAGTAAAATAGTGAACTTCTCTGTTTATCATCAGAATGGAGGCCTTGATATTCCCAGTACGGTGGAGGACAGAGAAGGAGCGGATACCTCGACGCTGGGCGATGTGGAGTCCATCATCCCGCTGGAAGACAAGGAAGCCGGAGGCATAGTGAAATTTGGATGGATCAAAGGAGTTCTGGTGAGTTATGTGGCATCAGCACTTTTCTAGCACGCTTAATATGCGCTCTGCTGCAGCTTGACCGTGTGTGTGTTTGCAGGTGAGATGCATGCTGAATATCTGGGGTGTCATGCTGTTCATACGGCTGTCGTGGGTGTTCGGACAAGCGGGAATAGGTGAGATGTTCATCCTGTGACCTTCATAAACCTTCCCTGAACACACAGCAGGTGCTCATTTACATTCAGCACAGAAAACTACATTCCTGCATACGTGCGCACACACAATCTGATCCCAGCTCAGCGCAGACAAACCCACAAAATAAAGGTCCTAAAAGAAAACCCAACATTTCAGTGATCGGTGCTTAAAATAACCTTTTTTTTATATAATTAGAAGAATCTTTTTCCACTTTAAAGAACCTTTTAAGGTTCCATGGATGTTGAAGGTTCTTCATGCTAATAAGAACCTTTATTTTTTTAAAGAGAGAGGAAGATTTATACTCAGAGAGGCTCTTTCAGACATCTGGAGACTCCATAGAGTTCTGTTTGAAGCATGAACGTTTCTGAACTAGAAATAGACAGAAATGAGTCAGTTGTTGACACACAGAAAGTGTCTGAAGCTAAAATCAGAAACGTGAAGAGACTCAAGGGACTAGACGTAAAGAAGACACCCAGAACGCCCGAACTTTAAGAGTTTTTCACAGGCAAACGTTACAAACGTTGATTGGTCAGTGTGCTGAGAAACGTTGGGGTTTGTACTTCTGATGGCAGACTTTGGTATCTTGACACATCTGAGTAAATTTAAGAATTTTCTAAAACCAATTAAAGGAATAAATTAAAGTGATGTTGTTCCTCAGTATTTTAGTCTCGTTTTCCAATGCAAATGTCTAAAAATTTTTAAATCAATTACAAATTAAGTCTTGTTTTCTGGGAAATCTATTGATAATTAAGTGTAATTATGATAAAGGACAAATATCTGCCAATGGCAGATCAACTTAATTCAACATATTATATGTTTGTTCTTGTTTTAAGCATAAAATCACTTCATTTGGTTAAATTTCTCAGAAAACAAGACTTCATATGTGTCCCTGCAGCACAAAAGCAGTGTTAAGTCGCTGGGGGATATTTGTAGCAATAGCCAACAATACATTGTATGGGTCACAATTATACATTTCTCTTTTATGCCAAAAATCATTAGGATATTAAGTAAAGATCATGTTCCTTGAAGATATTTTGTAAATGTCCTACTGTAAATATATCAAAACTTAATGTTTGATTAGTAATATGCATTGCTAAGAACTTCATTTGGACAACTTTAAAGATGATTTTCTCAATATTTAGATTTTTTTGCACCCTCAGATTCCAGATTTTCAAATATTGTCCGATCCTAACAAACCATACATCAATGGAAAGCTCATTTATTCAGCTTTCAGCTGATGCATAAATCTCAATTTTAAAAAATGGACCCTTATGACTGGTTTTGTGCTCCTGGTCACATGTTAATTTGCATCTCAATTTAAAGATGTTTATATATTTGCATTGGAAAACAAGACATTCTTTTTTGCAGTGCATGCAACATTTAATGCCATGACTTTAAAAAACGAGGCTTTCTGCTCTGATTGAAGAGCTTAAATCTGTGGAAGGGCGAATGAGGACTTTTTGAGACCCGCATGATGTGCGATTCCTAGGGTCTGGTTCTCAGGAGAAACATCTGAGAAGGTGTTAGTCTCTCTGTGTTCGGTCAGCGGCGCTGAAGGTCACTGCTGGTGTTAATGGCGCGTAACTAATGGAGCCTCAGACGTTTGAGTTTCTAAGAAAGTGCAGTTTCAGTCAGACACCTCGAGCTGCAAGCGAAACACATTACAGGCCATCAGAAGCTCACTGCCGTTACGTATTTTATGAGGTGTGAGAAACTGCAGGCGCTGAGCGCTTTTATTCCTCAACGATCTCATTATAGTGCTGAACAAACACACTCACTGAACTGAAGCATGCTGGGTGTTGAGTGCGTGTGAGACTATAAGTGTGAGTTGGTTTAAATACTCAAATAAAAATGAAAAACTCGGCCAAAAATTCACTCACCATCATGTCGTTCCTTTCTTCTGTGAAACACAACAGATTGAAACTTAAGTGGTTATTTATTGAAATGGCTCATCTGATGTATTCAGGCTCATATGTTCATGTTACCTGTCAAAGCATCGGTGTGTTTCAGGTTTGGGGATAGTGGTTGTGTTGTTGAGCATTGTGGTCACCAGCGTCACCTGTCTGTCCATGTCAGCTATATGTACCAACGGTGTGGTACGAGGAGGTAAAGCACACTTTACATGAGTATAGCAACTAGATCAGGTCTTCATCTGAGCTCACGGAGTGTGTTTGTGCTCTAGGTGGAGCGTATTACCTGATTTCCCGCAGTTTGGGACCTGAATTCGGCGGCTCCATCGGCCTGATCTTTGCGTTCGCCAATGCCGTGGCCGTAGCCATGTATGTCGTGGGGTTTGCCGAAACTGTGGTGGAGCTTCTCAAGGTATAGATCCAGAAAAATGATAAAACCAGCCTGGAAATCCAGCTGCTTCTAAATACGCCTATCTGCTCTGTTCAGGAAAGCAACGCTCTGATAGTGGATCCAGTGAATGACATCAGGATCATCGGCTGTATAACAGTGGTTCTGCTGATGGGCATCACTGTGGCGGGAATGGAGTGGGAGGCCAAGGTAAGAACAGGAGCATGCTGGGATTGAGTTTTCGGCATGATAGCAGATTGAGAACCTTCTCTCTCTCTATAGGCTCAGGTAGCTCTGTTGGTGATCCTGCTGCTGGCCATTGCCAATGTATTTGTGGGAACAGTGATTCCCTCCACACAGGACAAGCTTTCCAAAGGCTTCTTTAACTATCAAGGTGAGACAGGCGAGAAACGATGCCATCTGTGCCTGACATTTTAGGTATAAATAATCATACTTCCCCATCTGAGGCCTAAAGCATCAGCACCATGAATGTCCCCCCATATATCGATTCTCGAAATTCTACATGCAATCCTAAATGTGTGCTTAAAGCCTTAGGGGTCGTTTACACAGAACAATGCATGACGCAGTGTTCTAAAAACATAGCGATTAAGTTAAAAGAATTCCACCAAGGCTTTACATTTTCTTTCATGTCACTACCTGCTTTTTTTAAACACAAATGGTCCCTTAAAAGTTATTTATTGTGACTAACCCTAATCCAAACCCAACGTTTTGGAGCTTGACGAGACTTATAGTATAAACGCTCATGCCACTCAATTCAATATAAGAGTGATTAAATCACTATTTTGATCGTGAGAACAAGAACAGGGTTGAAGAGGAAGTGCAGGACAAAGTTTTGGGGTATGTTTGTGCCACAAGCGGAAACGTTTTCACAAATTCACGGTTTTGTAGTTTACACAGAGACAATAATGGTATTGTTTTTAAAAACTTGCACTCTGAAACCCATTTTTTGCAACCCAAGTTTGCATTTTCAGGCCTCCGAAATGCCATTGTTGTGTAACCGAACGGCCAAAACGCATTAAATGCGTAAAGAAAATACATTAAGCATTTTAGAAAAAAAATACTATGAAAACTGTGAATGCTTGATTTAAAAAAAAAATAATAATAATTTTAAAAACTCTAAATTTAGGTAGAATTAAAAAATTTAATTCTATATAGCCTATTAAAATATTATAAAAAATATATATATATTTAAAAATATACTATTTTTATATATTAAAAAAACACTAGCTTCTCTAATCTTTTTGTATTCTATCTATTTGTTTTCTTTTTATTTATTATACAATTAACAAAAGCAAAAAAAGGTCTCTAACACTAGCTTGCTCTATTCTGTTTCTATTCTAGTTTTCTTTTTATTTATTATATTATTTTAAAAACAACAACCTTGCTACATGTACTGCGTTAAGCTAACTGAGGCTTGTTATAGCACTTGCATATCATTGCTCTCTTGTTGATTCTGATTGCTTCCATTGTCCTTATTTGTAAGTCACTTTGGATAAAAGACTGAAACGTCTGCTAAATGACTGAATGTGAATGTAACACTGATGACGTGAACACTGGCAGATATTCATGAAGTCAGTGTCAGTAGTAAGTCCTGAAAATGAAATCCTGCCATGTCAAACACATCTAATCTCTGTCTAAAACAGAATCCATCGCGAAGGAAAACTTTCTTCCGGAGTTCCGGGATGGAGAAACGTTCTTCTCTGTTTTTGCCATCTTCTTCCCGGCAGCCACCGGGATTCTGGCTGGAGCCAATATCTCTGGAGATCTGAGAGTAAGAGCGAGTGTCTGGCACATTTCTAATCTGAAATAACTGTGCGATCAGACGCCGGTTCAACATCTTTTTCACACACGAACGCACAGTGCTGGGGAAAGTTACTTTTAAAAGTAATGCATCACAATATTGCGTTACTCCATAAAAAAGTAACTAATTACGTTACTTAGTTACTTTTTATGGCAAGTAATGCGTTACGTTACTTTCGCGTTACTTGTTAAATCTGGACAGGGCTTGCTTGTTTGTTTTTAAAATAAAAAAGTTATATTTTTGGCAAATATAAAAGCCTTTCACACCAAAAGTGAAATGAATGCGCCTCAGGCTGAAGGGAAAGTACAGTAGAATGCAGAAGAAGACATTTCAACACACTTCAGCAATAAACAAAGACACAGATGTGTGTCTAGAGTAATTTGTGCTTATTAGTACGCTTGAACTGGATCATCGAAGGTCAGAAGCAAATAGAATGGGATTAAATACATAAAGCATATTTGTGTTTTTAGCATTTAATTATTGCAGGTTTGCGTCATAGTCTGAGTTCATTTTGAGGAATACTGACTCTGTGTTTTTGTGAGTGAGATGAATTAATGCATATTCATATCTATTTTAGAACTACAGTAACATCTGATTTCTCTCACCATGGCAACACCAGAGCTGTCAATCAATACATTTGAAAAAAAAGTAACTTGCGTTACTTATTTGAAAAAGTAACTCTCTTGTAAATGAAAAAGTAATGCGTTACTTCACTAGTTACTTGAAAAAGTAATCTGATTACATAACTCGCGTTACTTGTAGTGCGTTACCCACAACACTGAACGCCTCTGGTTTTTCAGGACCCTCAGGCAGCTCTTCCCAAAGGAACGCTGTTGGCCATCTTTATCACAGGAGTTACGTATTTGGGCATCGCGCTGGTTGTTTGTGAGTCCTGAACGCACACTTGAAATTACTCTAGTCTCAGTCTGGATGTCTAACAGAAAGACTGTGCTGATTCTCTGCAGCTGTGACGGTCGTTCGAGACGCAACAGGGAATCGCAACGACACTATCCAACCGGGTTTGAGCTGCAACTTCTCTTCGGCCTGTGATCTGGGCTACGACTTCTCAATCTGCCAAACAACCAAATGCAACTACGGCCTCATGAACAACTTCCAGGTGGGAGTCTTGAACATACGTGACCTGAAATCCAGTGCGTGGCTGAAACTCATGGAAATAATTGAGTTTGAAACGATTCTCTCGTGTGTTTGTGTGCAGGTAATGACTCTAGTATCTGGGTTCGGACCTCTCATCACGGCGGGAACGTTCTCGGCCACGCTCTCCTCAGCTCTTGCGTCTCTAGTGAGCGCGCCCAAAGTCTTCCAGGTCAGAGTTCACACACACACCATTTAAACCCAATAAATATCTAATCAGCTTTATACGTTTATAGGACAGTCTTAAAATGCAATAAAAGACGGCAGTACATTGTAAAGAAGCTCTTAAAAGTGAATCCGTCCACAGGCTCTATGCAAGGACAACATCTACAAGGCGCTCAAGTTCTTCGCCAAAGGTCACGGGAAAAACAACGAGCCAATCAGAGGATACATCCTGACCTTCTTCATCGCTGTAGCATTCATCCTCATCGGTAAATATAACAGTGATTGACTGATTTCATGAGACAGATGTGATCATGTAACAGCGGTTGTTTGTGTCTCAGCTCAGCTCAACACCATCGCTCCCATCATCTCCAACTTCTTCCTGGCCTCATACGCCCTCATCAACTTTTCCTGCTTCCACGCGTCATACGCCAAATCCCCAGGTCCCGTCTAGACTTTTAGACACACACACACACTCTCTCTCACACAGGTCTGTTTTTATGGTTTATGGGGACTCTCCATAGGTGTAATGGTTGTTATACTGTACAGACCGTATATTCTATTGCCCTACACCAACCCTACCCCTAAACCTATCCCTCACAGGAGACTTTCTGCATTTTTAGAACACACAGACATATATATATATATATATTTTTTTTTTTTACATTTAGGTGTTGAATGAAATAGTTGTACACTGAACACTTGTCTTTATTCACCATCACTGGCTTGTTGCAGTTAATTTCCTTATATAACTGGCTAAAGATACTGCATATTTGTTGTGTTTTTAAATGCTGTCTATGTAGGCATCTCGTGAGGTCAGGAACAGACTCACAAACACACCCTTTAATGCCACTGTACTCAGATAACTGTGTGTTAAAGCTCTGGTGTGTGTGCAGGTTGGAGGCCGGCGTATAAGTACTATAACATGTGGCTGTCTCTGTTCGGAGCCGTGCTCTGCTGTGCCGTGATGTTTGTGATTAACTGGTGGGCTGCATTACTCAGCTACGGCATCGAGTTCTTCCTCTATATTTACGTTACCGTGAAGAAGCCAGGTAAGAGCGCAGATGCATGCAGTCGCTCCTGCAACAGATAAAGCAGAGAGACATATGATATAAAGACATAAACACAAGCATGATATAACAGAAGTGTCTCCTGCTTCTCTCAGATGTGAACTGGGGTTCGTCCACTCAAGCCGTGACGTTCATAAACGCTGTGAACAACGCTCTGATTTTATCTACTGTGGACGAACACATCAAGAACTTCAGGTGCGTTCAGGTCAAAGCAGATAAGCGGGTGTTTAATGCAGATTAGATTCTCAGAGTTTCTCCTGAATGTTCTGCTGCAGACCCAAGTGTCTCGTGATGACAGGATCGCCCAGAACCAGACCGGCGCTGCTGGACCTGGCACATTCATTCACTAAGAATTATGGGCTGTGTCTGACCTGTGAGGTGTTTGTGGTGAGCAGATGTTCTCATGCAAGCAAACAAACAAACACATCTCCACACACCAGGGCTTCCTGCGGGACTATGTCGATCTTGATTGTGTGATTAAATCATGTTTTATTAAGCAGATGAAGGTCAGATTTGTCAGACGGCGTGTGTGTTTTTAGGGTGCGCGTGATAAGAATCTGCAGGACATGAGCGCTGCTGTTCAGCAGATCCAGCAGTGGCTGAACAAGCAGAAGAGAAAAGCCTTTTACACACCTGTCGCCAGCGAGAACCTGCAGAGAGGAGCAGAAGCGCTGATGCAGGTCAGTCTGAACACAAACACAGAGATGGGTGGATGGATACTGTAACACAAACACAATATATCATTTTGTGCTATATATGTTTCTTGAGCAGCAGATCAGCATATTATAGTGATTTCTGAAGATCATGTGACACTGAAGACTGGAGGAATGATGCTGAAAATACAGCTGCGCATCACAGAAATACATTACAGTTTAACACATTCACATAGAGAAAAACTTTTAAAAATATTTCAGAATATTATTGTTTTTGCTGCATTTTGGAAACATTATACTACATTATTTACTTCTTTTGGAAACATTAAAAAATCTTACAGATCTAAAAAAAAATTTAATGGTAGTGTATATACATTTTAAAAAGAAAAGAAAATTAAGCATATTTTTAGAAACAATTTTTGCATTGTGACATTATTTTCATGATTAAACTCGCAGTAGAAAAAAACTAATATATTATGTACATTGTAAGAATATATCTAGATGACACTTGCAAGCATACATCATGACAGTTCTTGTGCACAATTTCTGTGTGTGTGTGTGTGTGTGTGTGTGT